CATAGCACTTTTGCTTTTTGACAGGCATCCTATCCAGGCTGGGGCAGGTTGCAGTCAAAAAAATCTAGGTTGGTATGTAACTTTTGAGTTCAGCGTGGGGGATGTCGCAGAATGCTGTGATTCACGCCAGTGCGCATCGGATTCTTGGGTCGTATGTAAATTGAGATTGCCATTGCCGCAGTCAGGTTGGTTAAAGTGTTTGAGCGGTGTCAGGCAAGTATTGTTGTTCAGGGCAAAACAGAGGGGAAGTCAGTCTGAGGAGACTGAAAAACAACTTCAGTCAGGGGTGCAAAACTTACAGGGCCGTGGGACTGTGTCCGCACCGCAGTGGTGGCTGTGCCGAGGCTTGCGCAGCTAGACGTGGGAAAGGACAGTAGGACGCATCCTTCCCCTTAACCCACACCCACGCGGCAATTCGGCACAAGCCCACCGGGGAGCCATCCACCTTTTCGCCATAGATATTTACCTTCAGGAAGCCATGGATTGGTATTTTCCTTGCCTTGCTGTCCAGCAGTTACGGTTAGCCGTACATGTGCATGCGTCACCCCTTGCAGCGGGGAAAACGCATTCAAATCCCCACCAAAGTGAGTTTCCTGGAAGTCCCGCTGCCGCTGCACAGCTCTGCATCACCTCCAGCACGGGCTGGTGCTTACGAGTTACCCAAATGGCCGCAGAGTTGTCAGAAGTATGTATGTATAAAACCCAATCAGCCTGATCTCCCCAAAGAAATCTGATAAAAGAGGATACACAGCCATGCTGGTTTTGCTCTGCTGCCAGGTCATTTCTGTTTGCGTTGCACAAGAGCCAAGCCTCAAGATTTGGGCCCATATTTCCTAATTTATTTTGAACAAGAAAAGATTGGACTAGAGACCTTAGGAGGCACCGAGGCAGCATGCCACACTGGAGAATTTGTTTTGTTTTGCAGCTACTGAGACTGCTGCTCGAGAGTTAATTCACCATGGGGTTGAAAAAACGCAGTCCAACTTTTTAAGTATTTGTCTTATTTCAACACAACCTAGTGCAAAATGCATTTATGTATCATAAACACAGTGCAACAACTTTATTAAGGATTAATAAGCTCTATTCAGCATATATTTGTCTGCTGTATGTTGACTAGAAGCTATGAAAAATGTGATGTTACTATTGCCGCATGTTTAAATGATTGCCTGCATATGTATCCATGACAATATCTATTCATCTTCTGTTCTTTATATACGTTTTTATTATAAATATCTTTATTCTAGTGGAACATTTTAATATCAAAGTTGACACAGTGAAGTGCAAATTGGAATAGGTCAAATGAAAATCAGATATCTGTATCTTGAATTTATTCCAAGTAGTTTGGTATTGATAAGAGAAATCTGATTGTTGCCTACATATCAAGACGTAGCAGCCTTCAGTAATTCGTGCCTTCTAGTCAAAGCAAGGGTTCCATGCTCAGCCTTCCAAGTCTGTAGTAAATACTTTACCAGCCATAAGTGATGTACGGGAATTAGATTAATCCATGTTGTAGGGAGTTTATAAGGTTTAGTACATATATGCAGTTTCAAGAAGAGAGTTATTTTCCATAATCATTTATCTCAAGCATAGGAAGCATATGCATGATTATATAATTAACAGAATATTTGTTTGTCAGTGTTTGGTTAGTGTGCATAATAATATCATTATTAGGCCTTCTGTGCTCCTGTATTATCAGATTGTTATCTCCCTGCTCCTTTAATTCACAGTCTCTGCTTTTTAGATTAATCACTTTGTTTTAATCTGAACATTTTAAGGTTTTTTTTGACCACGAAGGGAATGGTTTGTGAACACCAAAGCAAAAGTTATTTTAGAACAGATTTTAATCTTTTTGGTTTGGGTTGGGTTTTTTGTTATTGTCATATCTGGTAGTTATTTTTACAAGGTGGTGTTTTAGTCCCAAATCTTGTTCCAAATCACATTTTTAAATGTCCGCTCTAATCAGCTCTGCATCTCTCAAATTATCTTCACTGCCCTTTTCCTCCATCATACTGCAGGCAGCATACTGCCAGCTGAAACTCTCTCATCCTTCGTGATTCTTCTTTAGTGGTCAGTCTTGCTCGCTGCCGAAGTTTACTGTATCAGGCTTTCCCGAAAAGGATGAAAAATGAGACAATGCTGATATTTTCCATTGTGCCCACAAAGTTTGAATTCAACTAGTTAACACCGTTTTTCCTCCAAGTATTCAAATGTATCGGGAAATAATAATTCTTTTTTTCTCTTCTTTTTTTTCAGAGGGACTGAATAATACTCAATCTATCTTGTTGGAAAAAGATTGGTTTCTAAATAAACAACCCGCTAGACAGTTATCCCTTGATCATATGTTATGGAAGATGTCATCTACATTTCCCCTTGTTTTTCTTTGTGAAAAATGTTTCTTGGGTTTTTTTTTCCTTTTCAGCACTCTCGGTAACAATCTTAGTAACCTTTTTCAGGACATGCAACATATGTACAACTTTTCACGTTTCCTACGTATGCCACCTCCACTTACTCCGCTTTGAATAATAGTATTACGTAACAGTGTATTCATTTTCGAGCATTGCATTTCTTTGCTTCTGAGATTATAATCTATTTTGTGCATTGCTGAATATTATAAATATTTCATGTATTTTACCCCATTACCATTTTCTTTTTCCTGCATGCCCTGTGTGCTGTTTGTGCTTATTTCGGTAAACGTCAGCTCGTTTCTTTACCTAGTCTCGATGCATTCCTCTTGTTTTATAGTAAGTAATATATGAGTAGTGATAATTCTGCTCTTCATAGATTTATTGATTCGCCTCTTCTTTGTTCAGAGGCCATGCTATTTTGTGTGGTACAGAATTGGTATTAGCCTCCCCACTTGCCTACTTTTGCTGCTGCTTCAAGTTGGTATGTGTAGTTCGGTATGGGGTTTGGTTTTTTTAAAGTTACTACCCTAAACGTTTTGGCTATATATCTGTCTGTGCAATAATTCATGTTTTCTTTGGTTGATGATGCAACTTGCCTTTTAGACACAGTGTATTCAAACACTATGCATTTTATCAATAAAGAAGTTTAATTTTTCTCTTATCTCGTAGCTTGTACAAACTTGTTGCTTTCAAGTTTGTCTAGTTGGGTTACTTTTTTCCAAGTGCATTGTGGGAAAAAGTTAATGTCTGTCTCGCAGTTATTTATTTTGTCAATACATTACCGCCTTTTAGTTTTCACCTGTAACTGGTGGCTTTCGGTCCCGGTCTGCGGACGTGATACAGGGAGAGTTTTGTAACGTCCCGCATCGCGGTGGGGCCACAGTATTTCACTGTTGCGAGCACGGAGTGATTTATCACCGTTACCTAGGGTATGTTGTTGGATGATTGGGCCAGCCGGGGCGCCCACCGCCTCACCCGTGTCGCGTGGATGATGCCCTCCTCTGAACGGGGACACGCTCACCCAACCTTTGCCGCCTTCTGGTGTGCCTGCTGCTTTCCTTTCACCTCTGTCGATACCAA